TGAAAGAGCTCCGGGTATCACAGCCGAAAACTAAATTAACAAACAAAACAAGAAAAAACAAAACGTACCAACACACCGAGGCGACCGTACGTGGCGCCATCTTAGATTAAACTGTTGTGGATATTATATCTCAGGAATACCTCTAAAGAATATCTTTGAATTTCGCACAAACGTCCACTTGGACTCAACAATAAACTGATTAGAATTTGATGGTCAAAGGTCACATACCTTTTTTGGCCATAACTGACAGAACAGAATGGTTGCCCATATTTCATTATTTGGAGAATTGATGAAGAATCAAGACAGTTCAGTCAGACAACTCACATTTGAAATGGTTATTAAAGCAGTATAGCATAGTTAGATTGTGGCGGCTAGGCTCCGACCTCATCACTCCCCGCAGATATGTTTACATTAAACTATTATGGACTGATCAGCAAATACCTTACACCCCTAGCCAGAGCCTACAGGTGGATGCTTGGGTGGTGGTTGGGCTGACAGGCAGCAATAGTTTACAGAGCAGCAGCAGCAATACAGATGCAGGGCAACAGTGGCATTCACAGAGCAGATTGGAAGGGTGCGCTTGGTTAGTGATTATGGAATAAGGCATGTGATGCCTATAACAGCGCAGCTTGAGTTGACTGCCTGAACTAGCTCGCAAGATTTGCTCCATTAATTATTATAAACTTTCACACAGATGTTAAACAATACAACGCTGAAGTGATGACGTGTTTTACCCAAAGGTTCAAAGGTCAACTTCACTATGACATCATAATGTCCTGGAAAAACACATTTTGGTCGTTATTCAAGACCGTATCTCAGGAACAGAGGGGAGATTGTGACCATATTTCACAGTTGGTCATACACTGAACTAGTGACACTTTTGGCAATTAGTAATTTTACTACCACCACAATTACTAGTGTTAGTAATAGCAAGAGTGACAAATCATGATCCTTAATATTCCATCACTTACTCTAATCATTGTCTTAATTCCTAAACTCTTTCCTTTAATAAATAAGTAAATGTCATCAAACGTTAGAGGACATGTATAGTTAAGATGTAGAAATGTTTCCATGTGGCAATCTACTCACTTCTGCTTTTTTTTTAATGTGTTCATGTGATCATCATGAGCTTCTTCTTTTCTGAGCAGCAGCTTTCAGCTGAGAGGAAAAACCACAAAAACAGAACGAACACAGGAAAACTACAGTGGCTTCACACTGACTTCATTGTAGGAGGGTCATATAGAACAGCGGCAACTACCACGGCTGGAAGTACCTTAAATACACAGATTTTTGCTTTGAGAATACTAAAAGTGCTGCCTTATATCAATGACAATTTCCTGTGCCAGTTCTTCAAATGAGTAATACTTCTGTTTTCAAAGAGGTGAAAAAAATAAAAAAATTTTCTTTCTATTTAGCTTCTTGTATTGGTGGTTAATCATTAAATCTGGATTGGTGTGCAGCTATCATAGGGATGCTGGGGACATGTCCCCATCACTTTAAAAGCATATTTTGTTAAAAATGTTCTCAATAATAGCTTGCACCAAGAAATAGCCTAAGGTGTGCAAACAGATCATTGCGTCTTATTGCACAGTGCATAAGAAGATAGTGACTTACAGTAAAGTGCTGCTTGCTAAAGCAGTTTCTAATGTCTTTCCTCTTGGAGTTTCAGAAATGACAAAAATTGATTATGAATTATCCACTACAACTTTAAAAAACATAGGAGTGTCTGAGAATACTGCTACCCCAAAGAGCACGTCAAATATCACATAATTCAGAGTCCCTTTGGGGTTGACTAAAAGCCAGTGCACAGTAAAACCAGGTGTATCTGACTACTAACTTAGTAGTCGTTAGTAGTTAGTAGGTAATTGAGGAGCAGCCATAAGAATGATTTGTGGGGTTGCGTAATGAAAGTGAATCTTCCAGGAGTTTACTAAACTTGCCGGTACAGTATTACAGTAACAAAAAGGAGAACACTGATTTGCTCAAAAGGCCTTCAGTCATTTTCATCAATGCAGCTTGGAAAGTGAGCAGGAAGGCTGACAGAAGGGAACACTTTGAGAAGGAAAATGCTTTTTGTGTCCAACTGCACTGCACACCTGACCTTTCAACCACCTGTCTGATGCATTCACCTTCTCATAGCAAACTTTAACTCCATCTGAACTGCTTTGTGACATCACAAATTTGTTTTTCACGTTTTGTCTCTGTTCTCTTTTCCAGAATAGAGAGAGAGAGCGCATGAGGGAACGAGAGAAGGCAGCGAGGGAGAGGGAGGCACGTTATAGCAATGGTCATCTCTTTACCTCGTTGACAGTGTCAGGAACCACGCTCTGTTCAGCATGCAACAAGAGTATCACTGCCAAGGAGGCACTCAGCTGCCCCAGTAAGTAACACAGTTACTGCACTTCTGCATCTTCACATAAAGTGAGAGGTGGTAGAGTGGCAAAAAATAAATCAAAGAGTACTCATTTAGAAATAAAAGTACAGTTAGTTCTTACTAGTTACTTACTAAGTTGCAGTAGGTAACTTTTATAAAAATAACTTTTTGTCATTATTGCTGAAATTTTCCCTGTGTTCTGACACTAGGAGCAGCCAGAGGAACCGGATTTATTTGTACAGATTATCTGC